CCGTTCACCATGTCTCCGGCGGTGCCCCCCCCCCCCTCCCTCCGTGCCTGCCCTATTCACTGTTGTCCTTGTTGACAAAAAGCACCCACGAACAACCAAGGTGCCCTTGCAGACAAAACTTCGAGAGGGACAACTGAGCAAGCACTTCATGAGGGCTTTCTACTCTGCCCTCTCTGTTTCGGACTGGGTCAGCTCGCGAACGAAAGCTTCTCTCAGAGCCTGTTCATGGTGGTCATGTCCACCGACTGGACGTAGTCCTCAAACGCTTCGATAACGTCGGTGATGTCCTCAACGCCCACCTGCCGCCGGCGGACACCGATATACCATGCAGACAAGAGGCACGTACGTGTGCCGAACGGTTTGATTTACGCCAAGCCAGCTCACGAATGAACAGAAGCAACGGAATCAAACGAGAATATCGGGCAATGATGGGCGAACGCACAGCCAGACGGAACGTACATCGTACGCGTTGCTGATGCATTCCACCATACCAAGCCAGCCAACACACCGCGAAAAAGGACAAAGGACACACTATCGCAGCGCCAGCAGCAGCAGCAGAACGGTTTCTGTGAGACGAGGGAAGCGGCCGGCCCTGCCAAGGTTCCCGTTGGGCACCAAAACAACGGCACTCGGGGCCGCCAGTCCACCGTGTAGGACGTGGGACGGGCAACGATTGCAAAAAAAATTAAAGCAACATCTCGTCGAGGTGTTTCGATCAAACCAACAACATCCAGGCAAAAGACGTACCTTGTCATCCTCCACAACACAAGAAAGCACCAACTTCTTCACGCCGAATGCCACCGGCACAAGCTTGTGCGCCTCTCCCCAGACAAGGCCATCGATCTCCGTCTGCACAACCGCACAGAAACCACCATCAAAAGAGAGAAAGCGGAAAACGCAGGACACGCACGAAGCGGGAGCACAGGACCTCAGCCGCAGCATGAGGAATGCGGATGGTAGCTCACAGTAGCACTCGGATTCAAAACGACCTAACCCTCCCCCGTCCCTTCGTTAAACACTTGAAAACGAACAAAGAGGCATGGCAGCGAAATCTGTGTCATCGAGACGAAACCGGCGGCGGCTCAAGACAGACGTGAGCGAGAGGCTGGGGTACTACATAGCATACAGAAAACATTCGAGAGCACTCAAACATGCAAGTTCCCGTCATCGGACAAAGGGGGCGCTGAAGAACCCAAACACTTACTATCCCCACACCGACAGCAACGACTCGAAACGCAAGGACAGACTAAGACGAAGCGCTCACCGCACAAATCTTCCCAAACAACTCCTTGAGGTCCGTCTCTGTGTCCCACGGCTTCACTTCGAACACGATCTGCGACCTGTTGATCGGCGCATTTTATGCACGAGGGTGACCGGCGTACAAAACAGTTGCGACAGGAGGTCGCAGAATGTTTTAGTCTCTTGAGGAACCAATAGCGCTCTGTGATTGTCCCTCCGTCGGCATCCCGTTCTCGGGGTGTGAAGCTCACACGGATATTTCTGCGGTCCGATGTTAAAACTCTTTGTAGTGTCACGCGGTGTGTCACGCGGTCCGCCGTCTTTTCTCTCCAATTATCTCCGTCAACACCACCAAGCATGTATCTGACAATAGATGTGACATTAGGTAAGGCGCTATGGAACTGGATCTGTAAATCCTTGCCGAGGGCGTTTCATAGGGAAGACCAAACACAGGGCTTCAGAGACTCGAAATCGTCAAACCTAATCTCACTGCTTCCTCAAATCATTCACCGTCCCATCATATCCCTGCAGCAGCAACCATCATCATCCGGGGTCACCCGCGCTGCACAACAAGCCAACAACGAGAGCCGCCGAGTCCGTGCTTGATCGCCCCTCCCTCCCTCCCTCCCACCTGTCTATCTTCTTCTTTGCGTCCTTGGCCTTTTTGGCGGCTGCCATCTTGTCGGCTCTCGACTCCTCCTTCTTCGCGGGCGCGGCGTTCTCGTCGTCATCGAACAGGTTGTCCACCTGTACAAAAAAAAAAAAATGACAATACATGTTGGGCCACAACAAACGCGATCACCAACAAATCGCGCCAATACACAGCGGGTCAGACCAAGGACAAGTTGCACACACACGTATCGAGGACATGGTCCCATCGCCCTAATATGAGGAAACGCTACTGTATGCATCCTAGATCCTGATCCACGGATAGAGATCGAGTTGCTGTCTCGAGTACAGTGGGGGTCTCGTTTGAGCGACCCCCTCTTCAGCGACATCTTCTGTTTAGCGACCATCAAATCACGTGGCACCGCCGCACCCCGGCAACTGCATGCAATTGCTATTTCGTTCGTTTTAGCGACCTGCCCAGGAAAGGCCACATTTCGTCGTGACACTACGGATCGCTAAACCGGGCCCCCGACTGCATCAAGAAAAAAAAACACAGCCGGAACCCGGGAGAGAGAGGCCACGACACCTACCCCGCGCCGACAAGGGGTACGTCGACCAGGGAAAGGTCGGTCGCGAAGTAAGAAGCACACACCCGTGGATCAGGCCGGAGAGCCGGGTGACTCGCTGCAAACAAAGCCAACAGCAGTCTTCAGCACACGCAGCATAGCATGGGGCCACAGCCGAGAACAACCCGACAAAAACCAAGCGGAAAGTGGGAAGACGGCTGGACAGCGGCGTTTGTTGCATGTTTGTTCATGCTCTACTTTTGGGGCGGGTGCGTTGGAGGATTGGTTGCGTTGGCATCGTCACCGTGCCAGATGGGTCCGAGAGAGCCTACATACATGCCATATTCAAGGAAGATTCCTCCCAATCCTTACCGCTGTCGATATGAAGAATGCGAAGAAGCAAGACGTACCCTTGGAGAGCTTTCGGAAGCGAGTACTTTTCTTTACCAATCGTTCTGTCATGGATGCATGTCATACGCTGCATGGTTCGGGAGTGTCGAACAACAACTCCAGGGTTCAACATGCATGTACCACGCACGTTTCTTTCAGGACAGACAGAGTTCGGTCACCTCTCATCAATTGGTATGCAAACCTACCAGAGGTAAAGCGTAAATTCTGTAAATGATGTTGTGTCTTCAGCGCGTCAAGATGCGTGAAAGACCTTACATGTGGGAGCAGTTAACCATAGTACCAATGATACAAGGACGTTGCCAAATCGGTACAACACCACATCTCCGGAACTCCCGGACCGATGTCGAAGCTCGATTACCTCGCACCGTGATGGTGACGATGCCGAACATGGCTGCGGCGGAACTGTGTCTCGTCGCTGGCTTTCCGTTAAGGTACATATCATTTGGATTTGGCCCCCCCCCCCCCCCGGCCCCCCCCGGTGTTTTGCCATCGGGGTTGGGTTTTCGTCGCTTGGCAACGACGTTGTAAAACAAGCCGCCCCCCCCGGTGTTTGCCATCGGGATTGGGTTTTCGTCGCTTGGCAACGACGTTGTAAAACAAGCCAATTCACTTCGTGAACTCGGCAACCAGGTTACCGTTGTTTTTTTTTTCCTCCGTTTTTTTTTTTGGCGGTAACCATAATGGTGGTCGAGTAGATCATGTTGTGCGGGGTGGAGAACCCTCACTCCGCGCAAGGGGGATGATCGCACCACGTTGTGTTAAAATGGTCAAGCACCCTCGAGGCAGTTACACAGTGCTTACAACTGTCTCAGGAAGTGAAAGCACCAGAAAATAAATTAAGTCATACGCAGCTGTCATCCGTACGCAAGGAAGTAAGCACAAGATGCCGAAAACCCTTAGCAGGATGCAGCGCACCCTTCATGCGACTCGCCGAATATCTCACGGCGCTTCGCGCTTGGTGATGTGAAAGCCTGGTCCGGTGAGAACCCGACGTGCTCTGTCCGGGCTTTGTAGGGATGCGAGAAATGGTCTAACGACTATGTACGACTATGAGTACACCGCCCCCCCCNTTGTAAAACAAGCCAATTCACTTCGTGAACTCGGCGACCAGGTTACCGTGTTTTTTTCTACCTCTGTTTGTTTTTGGCGGTAACCATGATGGTGGTCGAGTAGATCATGTTGTGCGGGGTGGGGGACCCTCGCTCCGCGCAAGGGAGATGATCGCACCACGTGGCGACAAATTGGTCAAGCACCCTCGAGGCAGTTACACAGTGCTTACAACTGTCTCTGGAAGTAAAAGCACCAGGAAATAAATTAAGTCATCCGCAGCTGTCATCCGTACGCAAGGAAGTAAGCACAAGATGCCGAACACCCTTAGCAGGATGCAGCGCACCCTTCATGCGACTCGCCGAATATCTCACGGCGCTTCGCGCTTGGTGATGTGAGAGCCTGGTCCGGTGAGAACCCGGGGTGCTTCGTCCCGGCTTTCTTTGTAGGGATGCGAGGTCAATGGTCTAATAACTACTGCATGCACGACTATGAGTACACCCCTACCCCACGGCAGTGTATTGTACGGAGGGGGGTAAGAGTGTGGTCGAGCTGTGAAATCGGCCCAGGGGTGTGGTATCTTACGCAACGCACTGCTGTCCACGCCGAATCATCGGGCAGCAGACATTTTGCACAGGTGTACGATTGAATGAGGAAAATGTGAATATCCGCTTCGTCGTGCTGATCCACGGCTGCTACTGCTGTCTGTACCCTGTTTTCCAGGTTTGCATCATAGATGCCAGAGAGGATCATCAATGCTCCACGCACAACAAGTTCAGCAGAGTTGACCGCGGGGCGAGTCTAAACTCTACCAATGGCGACACCGGACGGACGCATCAGCCAACACCATCCCCGGGGAACAACAACCTATGCAAGGCGGAAGATTGTCTTCTCTTCTCACCTCGTCGTCCGCCTCGGGCTTCTTGGCGGCCTTCTTCTCCTGCTTCACTGGTGCCAAGGATGGCAACCCTCGCGCGGAGCTCGCTGGTGCCGCCGCGGTGCCACCAAGGGAAATGTAGCTCAAGGCCATGGCCATCTCATCGAACGAAATATCGCAAGCGGTGGCCATCTTTATGCTCGTAGTGCTTGTAGTGGTGCTGTGCTGCGGGAAGCGCTATGTGGGTGGCCAGAGCCGCACCACACACACAACCCACAAGCATTTGGAGGGGGCCCACGGAGAGGGATTATGTTTGCCCCGTACCCCGTACCCCGCCCTCATCCTTCCATTTAGTTCCCCCGCGTGTTCATTCGCCCGCCGCCCTGATTCAGCCGACAGACCTCCAGCACACCACCGATGATGGAGGGCGAAGGAGAAGTTGAATCGTCCGGTTTCCCAGAGAGGTATGTAACGACGATGTTAGGTCATGGCAGGGTACATTTGATACCTCCATTTCCACAACAAAGCGCGAAAAATTCAGAGTCACCTCGGGTAAAGCGTGTGCATACGGTCATGAAGAAGCAAGGGTTATTGAAGAAATTCTGACCCTGAACAAGTCTGGTATCCAGCCCGTTCCCACTCACTGCCAACGACTTCAAGACATCCCCTTCGACTGCTGCGGTATTATCTCGAATAGGCAGTCTTCCTTTGATTGTACGTTATCAGGAAGCACCGAGCTTCGGCTGCGTACCAACTTCTACGCGAGGCTGACGACGTGTTGCAGCCTGGAGTGTACGTACACTGCTGTACAACAGGTGTTGATCGATAGCTCCGGTGGCTCAGTTCTGCTGGGAGTGTGAAGCAGGTCGGCCATGACGAAACGTAGACGGGAAATACTTGTAGCGTTTTAATGTACTAATCGGGTGCGTGCTTGAGCTCGTCATCAGTCGATCACGGCATGAAGTCATACCCATAGACTATATGACGCTCCCAACACCAGAATCTCACATTCCGTGACATTCCCACCCAAGGAAAATATAAAGAAACTTACTTCCCGTTCCTCCGCACCTCATCAGTGCGATCCACCAAGTATCACCCGTAGTACTTTGTCATTTATCTTTCTTCTACACAGTGCCGAAGTAAAAGAATCGATATAAGATAAGTACGGATACTATAAGCAGCAGCAGTTAGTAGATATAATGCCAAGAGAATAAAATCATCTTGTCACGGCTGTATTATACTCGTAGTAGATAGAGCGGGGTAATGAGCCACGGGGTGGCTCAATACCTTGCAGTAGTCTATCTGCGATGCTTTTTGCGATGGCGAGTGCACCCGATGGTTAAACATTGAATCCAAGTCATCGTCAACAGCAACATTAAAAGAGGCTCTCCCTTCTCTGCAGTGAACGGACGGCCGTTCGTTGGGATTCGTGAGCTACCACCACCGTGGATGACACAAGATACCAACAAACCCCTCTGGACCAACTTCCGAAGCTCGGTTGCTCCGCACCATAAAGAGTGGCGGTGCCGCAAATTGTGGTGAGGGAACCGTCTCGTTGAGAGCTTTCCGACAACGTCTCGCTGGGTTTACGCATCCTCTTCATCGTGTAATACTCGAGCTTTAAAAAATCAATACAGGGTTGTGCAAGGGACAACGTGAAAAAAAAATCAACACACATCAAGGTTGCATGGATGGGTAGTTTACTACTTTAAAACCAACTAAACTTGCTACCAGCCCATCACAGCTATTACACGAAGTGACAATCTCTTTCTTCCGGCGGCGGATGATCGGATGTCCATACCAACTCAAACTTACCAAGACTACTAACAAGGCCCTTTGTGCACGTGCCGTAAAACACGAGCATACGCAAGCACACACCAGCACACGCCATTGAGAGAGGGAGGACGCCAAGAAAGCCTGCACAAAAATGTATCACGAATAAAGAATTATTTTCTCGCGGCCCTCCCGGGGGGGTTGAAGGCGGGGGTGGTGGTGTGCGAGATAACTTTTCTTGTTCGCCCTTGGGTTTTCAGCATGTTTGGGGAGGTAAGTTCATGATCGTTTCTACTTCTTCCGGCGGCGGATGATCGGATGTCCATACCAACTTAAACTTACCAAGACTACTAACAAGGCCCTTTGTGCACGTGCCGTAAAACACGAGCATACGCAAGCACACACCAGCACACGCCATTGAGAGAGGGAGGACGCCAAGAAAGCCTGCACAAAAATGTACCACGAATAAAGAATTATTTTCTCGCGGCCCTCCCGGGGGGGTTGAAGGCGGGGGTGGTGGTGTGCGAGATAACTTTTCTTGTTCGCCCTTGGGTTTTCAGCATGTTTGGGGAGGTAGGTTCATGATCTTTTTCGAGGCCGTATTGCGCTGCTGCTAACTACTGTAGTTTAGAGTTGATCCGGGTCGATTTTCGCCGACTTTCGCAAGGACGACAATCCGACTATTATTCGACTCATGAAGAAGTGCCGATCAAATTTTGTGCAAATCATGCATTCGTTCTTTGGCATTATTTGTCTACACGGGTGGCCAAAGGAAGTTGTAACTGGTGCCCAATCTCCCCGGGGGTTAGGTTGTACGCCGACGTATGCAGCTAGCACCGCGTCACGGATTGCCACGTTGGTCCAATCAATAGGGCGGACTGGCAACGTAGACTACATGTTGTCCAAGGTCGATCCCCAACGTCTCAAATTGATACCCCCGCGGAGGTCGGGCACCAGTTGTTGAGTATCGGTGGAGTTGGGAGACGGTGTTGTTCAGGCCGCGCTCTACATGTAGGTGAAGATTGCTTCCCAAAAGCTGAAAACGTGGCGTGGGGCAGCAGACAACAGCTTCGCCTAGGATAAGATCAGGCAGCATTTCACCTGTTCAGTGCAAAACCGAAAGGAACAAACTGCTTGCCGATGGAAAGTACGACCTGCTTCGGGCGTCTGTCTGCTTCTATGGCAAGTACAAGGTCTGCGTGAGGAGCACGAGGTGATGAAAGCACTGGGCTCAACCAGGTACAATCTGGGGACGAGGGGATGGCCCGGTAACATGTGCCGCTGAAACCCAACGGCCTCAGTGAGTTTCTGCCTGTAATGTTTTCTGTTTTCCTATGCGGGGGGAACGTGTGTTTTAGCAAGAACGTTCCGATAGCGAATCGTTTGCACTGAGATATGTTCATCTGCTCCTTGGGGGTCCATATAAACATATAAACCAATTCGGTGCTGTCCCCTGTGAGTCTTTTTTTGAAATTTTGATTTTTTTCAGTGGTTGTGTGTCGTATGCAATCATGAGTGCGTCGTCGACCCGCAGCCTTCCTCCACTGCCCGCCACCCTAACCTAGCATTTCACATTTCACACATGGCGCCGAGACCAGACAAAATGAGGTGTATGGGTCTGCTGTTGCGGTGAGAGAGAAAGAAGCGTGAATGCCTCGCGTTGGTTTGATCGCATGCATGCTGAGGTAGAGAGGGAGGATAGGGTAGCACTGGGCACAGAGGAGGAGATGTCCATGAGTTCAGCATGCTCGTACCTCAAGACCGGTTAGCCTCGACTGCCGTCCCACAGATGAGTATGTAATGTGTCCAATCGTGCATTGATGGGCTTCCTCGCGAAAGGGGAAACCTAAGCGAGAGAGGGAGAGCCTCGCGCAGCAGACAAATAACGTACTTCTAGATCGAACACAGAGGCCAAAATTACCCCGCGTGTGCCCCCAACCGACGCGAGTGTCATTGCGGGAAAGATCATACCGACACTACCAACACAGCAGACTCGGCACCGTGCCGGTCCATCGAAGTGGCCTTGCGGAGAAATTGAGAAAAGGGGGGATGGCGTGTAAACAAACGTAGTTTGATGGCCGTGGGTGCCACCACGACTTAAGCTATCGAAAAATATTTGATCGAAACCACGTGCGTTCCGATTTCGCCTTTGTCAATGCAAGGGATCTTGATCGCTGCACCTCTTCTCAGTACCGAGTCAATCGCTTTATACGGCAAAGTCAAAAGAGCGGTTTGGGACATAATACGTGTGAGAGGAAACCCGAGCGACGGGAAAATGGTTAACCCGACGAATTTCTCGGGTACGCCAACGATGCTCACTGTTGGTCGAAGAAGCTCACGTCTACCCCACACGCCCCACCCGGCGATGGCAGTCGATAAAACTCACATCCTAGGAGTTTGCGGCTTCAGAGGTGGTCTAGCGAAGCGAGTTATTGAAAGTTTTGTCCACCGATATGTATTGGAAAACTGCCTCTCAACCTTCGAACAGGCCACGTGGCTCTCTCTCTCTGTGTCGTGTTGCCGAATTGCATGCGTCTTGACAACGAACATCACGTATCATCAACGGTCAGGGCGGCAATACAGCGGTACGATCAGTGCTCGCACAATCGGTTATCTCGTTCGTTACGCACGTGTGTTGCAGCTGATTCCATGCTCCTTTTCGACAGGGGGGAAACTACGATTTTTCCATGGTTTCTATCGGAAACGAGAAAGAGGCGATGACAATAAAGACACGTTTGTTTCCCAATCTCCGATGTATGTAGATGTAGAGCCGGAAAAACCATCCCCAGGTCGAAAATCTCGTTTTTGGGAAGAATTGTTTCAATGTGTAACTGACATAAGCTCAAAACCGTCCCACTTCTGCTTACGCTCACGGTTTATTACATAGATGGGCCTCTTGCAGGTCGTGTGGATCGGCGTCCTCGTGGCCGTCTCTCGGAGCCAAGAGATTCAGAGCTGCAACGTCGGCGTGGGCGCTTTGACCGTCGGCAGCCCTGAAGACGCGGCCGCTCTGGCGACCTCCCTTCTGTGTTCGGCGAACGGTGGCTTCGCCGTTCAGTGGAATGGAGACTCTTCGTCGAAGAAACAATCCATGTCACTAGTGGCACATCCCTTGACATCACCGGAGCTGGACCAGGCGCCATTGCCGATGGACAGGACGCCACCGAATTGTTTGTCGTAGACGGGGGTTCCAGATTGCACCTCTCGGACATGATCCTCGCGCACGGTAACGCTTCTAGTGGCGGGGCTATACACGCGAACCAATCGAGTGTCTCGTTCAGCGGAAGCATGTCGTTCATCTCCAACTCCGCCCTCCTTTATGGAGGTGCAATCTACGCGTCTAGTTCGAACGTGTCCTGGTACGGTGACGGCGCCCAGTTCAGCTTCAAGTCAGCGAGTGAGCGTGGAGGCGCGATCTACGCGATCGATAATTCAAGCGTGTCGTGGAATGGCGATGGCACCTAGTTCACCTCCAACTCCGCTGGCCGATTTGGAAGCGCGATCCACGTGGAGGACTATTCACGCGTGTACTGGAATGGCGACGGCGCCCAGTTCACCTCTTAACTCCGCTGACCTTGACGGAGGCGCGATGCACGTGTCGTATGATTCGGCCGTGGACTGGGATGGCGACGACACCCAGTTCACCTCCAACTCCGCTCTAGGGTGGCAAAGTAAAGGAGGTGCAATCTGCGCGATTGAAAATTGAAACGTATCGTGGGATGGCGACGGCACCCGGTTCACCTCAAACAAATCGGGCGATTTTGATGAAAATGGCTCAGGCGGTGCAATCTTCGCGGAGCTGTTGTGCTCCGTTTCCTGGACTGGTGACGACACCCATTTCACCAACAACTCCGTTGGCAGTAAGGGAGGTACAGTATACGCGTTTGGCAGAACGACCGTGTCTTGGGACGGCGACGGCACCCAATTCACCTCCAACTACGCTAGTGGCGACGGAGGTGCGATCTCCACGGATAGCTCGAACCTTTCCTGGATTGGAAACAACACTCAGTTCAGTTCCAACTCTGCGGGAGCAGATGGAGGTGCAATCCACGCAGATACATACATCGCGCTTTGGGATGAAAGCACGAACTTTAGCGGCAACTTTGCGGCGGAATACGGCGGTGCCCTAGCTTTGATCGGATCCGAATACGGGTACGGGTCCGATTTTTACGGCCTGGTGTTCTCGAACAACACCGCAACGTTCGGTGGGGCGATGTACATGTACAACGCTGAGGACCCTATCAGCTTCACAGACGTGACGTTTGAGTCGAACTCGGCCAATCGCACCGGTGGAGCAGTCGCCGTGGCTGAGAGCTATTGTGTAACGTTTTCGAACAATTTGGCAGGCGATGACGGAGGGGCTGTCGAAACGTTGGCTGGAGAGCAAGCGTTTCTTTCATGCGATTTTGAGGGCAACTCAGCGGGTGAGGGGAACCAAACCATTGCAAGGGCACTCGTTTTTTTAGGGAGACTGCAGTAACTATCCCGGTTGGGCAGTAAGGCGTTAACACCATTGCTTTAAGAGATGCACCCTGGACATCAACCTCTCCCCGCCGATCCCCTTTGCCAGTTGTCGGCGGAGCTATGTGGCTCGGTGGCAAGGCGAGTGTCACCGGTTGCTCCTTCCTCTCGAATGTCGCTTACACCGACGGACTCGCAGTTGCTGTGGTTGGCTCTGTCAATATCACCGGCTCGTCGTTCGACGGAAACCAACTGTCCTACGATGATGGGTTGTACCGAAGTGATACGGAGGAATTACAAACGTTAAAACGGGACGGCTTTTTTTTTTTTTTGCCGGTGGTGGTGCTTGAATTTGCGTTAAGTTGCTTCTTCTGGGTGCGAATCGCGACACATGACCCTCGATTGTTGGGGGGAGCCCGAGGGGTAAGCTGCTGCGCATTGTGTCACCACCATCAACAAGATCAGTGGGTTTTCTCGAATTGCTCGAACCACCGGGTTTCTTCAAACCCAGACATGCTATCGACTGTTGTATGTGCGTCAACTCTTGTTGTCTTTTAATAAAGTAGGAAGATACCAATTCACGCTTCGAGACGGAATGCACCGACTGTCGTGCTTAGAATGAGTGCTCCGGGTGTACCATCACACGGGGTAGTGTCACGCCGGCATATGATGCACCGTTAGAGCACACCTCGGCCGACGAAGACGGCGCTACCTTGGAAACGCTCGACATCGATTAAGGCTTTTGGCGTGCAACAAACGAGAGTGAAGTCATCCTGGCGTGCTACAACGCGGATGCTTGCATCGGGGGACAAACGGGGGCGGACAGCTTTTGTGCCCCAGGATACAAGGGACGATGTGAGCGGGGGACAAGGACTAAAGCACTTGGCTCTGTTGTGTTGTATGATAGACATAAGAACGCACCGCCCGCTTCTGTACGTGTCTTTCCCAGCCCCATACGCCCCTTCCTTGCTCGCACGTGCGTGCGTGCGCGGGTCCATACCTTGACAGATTGCGCTGTGTTCCAAACCCACTATTCTCCATTACTCGCTCACACCTGTACGCCGTGCTCAAGCTCGAGACGCCAGGGACTGATGTCCGCCACTGTCATGGCCGTTATTGTAACACTCCTTGCAATTACCACAATTTCCAAGTTTTGTTGTCGACGGAGGCTTAAGAGAGGAACGTCGGGTGCTTCCATCGAAGGGTACTTCGAGCCGTCCCCCTCCAAGCATTTAAGATCATCGTCGTCGTGTGGCAGATATTGACCCAGGTTTGCTCTCGCCGGGCTGTTCGCGTTGGAACACCAAGATGCTTGCAATAACATAGCAGTGGCGATGATTTAAGATCCATGCGAAAGCAAGTTATTGCTGACACGATGTGTGCGGTAAGGGGACAGAAATTTGGCGTACATGTTGTGCAAAGTTTACGGATGGTGATCGAGACAGGAACAGCACCATGGCCTCAGGCCATAGAAATTGAGCCACGCCACGTCCAAACCCAACCCTTTTGTGTGATCCCCGCACAGATTGCAGACGCGGCCAATTTCACCTACCCTGGCGTGTACCAAGACTTTCTGAGCGCCATCGACGTCGTCAATTTGGACCTCGGTTCGGTTATCGCGGCCGGGTGTGTGTGGTCGACATGGGCTTCCACGACCGGCTTCTTGTCGCCACCATAGCGCCGTTGGTTGTTGTTGGATTTCTGGCGATGACTTACGGGATCGCGATGCGTAAGAACAGCGCAGCCGGCCATCATTCTGCAGGAGAAAAGATCCGCCGCAAACATCTGACGGCTCTCCTACGCTTGACGTTCCTGGTATATTCGTCAGTGTCGTCGACGGTGTTCCAAACGTTTGCTTGTGAGACACTCGATGACGGGATCGAGTACCTCCGGGCGGACTACCGTATCCACTGCACCGATCCCAAACGCGAGGCCTTTCAGGTGTACGCAGGGTTCATGATCTTGGTTCACCCGCTGGGCATCCCCCTGTTGTACGCCGGCCTTCTGTTTCAACGTCGCGACGTATTGGCCCATGATGGTGCGGACAAGACGGTAGCCCAGCCGATTTCCGGCCTGTCTGTGGGAGCCGTACAGACCCGAGCCGTTCTACGACGAGGTCGTCGAGTGCGGGCGCCGTGTCATGCTGACCGGCGTTTTTGTCGTCATCTTCCCGAACGACGCGGCCCAAATCGCGATAATGATGCTGGCTGCCTTCTTTTTCTTCTCGGCTTTCGAGGTGCTGTCGCCGTACAAACCCGAGGCCGACATGGGGCTTTCGCGCGGGGGGCACGTGATAGTGTTCCTCAGCATGTTCGATTTGTTGCTGCTGAAGGTGGTCGTGTCCGACGAGCGCGACGAGAGCCAGGCTGTCTTTGCTGGAGTGCTGGCGGCAGGCCACGTAATGATGGCCCTCGCCATTGTTGTCGAGGTGGCTGGCATCTGCTACGCGTCCCGGAGGAACCGAGCCGTCGAACAAGAAGCGGTGTTGCCGGAGAGGCCGCGGGCGGGAGAATCGGATAATGCCCCGTTCGTCGAGTCAGCTCTGCCGTCGTGGAAATCGTTTTTGAGCAGAGATTCAGTGTCAGAAAAGGCCGGGCCAAATCGAAGCGTCGCTGTGGCGACGGGAAGTCTGTAGAGCTATTGGTATTGTTGTTAGCCGTTCTTTTGTATGTGTGTGGGCATAATGGCCGGCTTGATTCTTGGGTGCGTGGTGATAGCACACAGGTTTCTGAAGGTAAATTGGCGGCCCTCCGCGATGCGGAGGATTCGGTACTTCTGGCGGGCTGTTGCCAAAAAAGGGTACAATAGTTATTACAGCGTGAAATCCGCCTTGAGCGTTGAGTGTGTCGCTAGTGGACGCAGTGCGCGCTTCGTTTCCGTTTGTTATTGTATTTCAATGTTTTTGGTGTTATTCAAAACAAGGGTCCTTCTGTGGCATCGTTGCCGCTCTTGCCTCTGTCTAGTTTCTCTGGCGTAGTGGCATCACCCCTGAAACCGGTTTCCGGATGCCTCCATAATTTTTGTCCGTCCGTTACAGCTCCGTGTCTCAGCGCATTTATCTCGAGGAGAGCGATGGTACGCGAGGCGGGTGCTTCACCCATCGAAAGTCACCAGACCCTTTACCCCGGGCAGCTACTGTACATATAGTGTAGCTCTTTTTGCCTTCTCGAAACACCCGGGGAGTGGGCGCTCGATGAAGATGTATTGGAAGTCTTGAACGCTTGTATAGACTATATGATGGCCGTCAACACGGGGGTGCTTGATTGCGACGTCCTGAAGTTCCGCAGTGATTCCGAAACGAAGAAACAACATCATTCGCGCTCCTGAAGAATCGCTACTTAGTCTTCTGGGACGCTGACTCGTACGTACTATTGAGGACGGGCGCTCGTACGTTTTGAGCGTCATCTCCGAAGTAGTGTCGGTTACTCCCGCCAAAGCGTGTCAGGGGGAGCAGCCAAAGACGACCTGGGAAAGAGCGCGTTTGGATATTGAAAAGTGCGAGGTTGCTTACCCTGGTTGCCAAGCGATGATGGGCTCATGCAGGGCTCGTGAAAGCTAAGGCTTTGTAATGAACTGCCCACCAGCGGCCACGACGAGGCATCTGCTTCCTTGCATTGCCCCATTCAACAACCACTGAACAACTAGACTAAGCGTTTGCCAGCCAAAGTACGCGGAGCGGGGTCACGCGGTGACATGCGTCAGCGCTCGCAACCCCTGAGCGAAAGGCAAGCTAAAAACAAGTAGGAGAAGAGAAAAAAATAAAAAAAATAACAGGGCTCACAATCAAGGGGGGGGGAAGGGGGGAAGTGGAGGTCCCCAATGTCTGTCGAGGACGATCCCCCCTGTTCGCATAGGTAGATTTTTCTTCAATGTACAACCGCGGCATCTTGTTCCTAAGACGCCAGCAATACAAAGCAGCAACAAGACGATTTTTTCATAGTAATGACCTCTCAACTGCTCACGCCATCCATCACAGACAGTCGGGGCCAACCGGCAAACCAGGCAGATTCTATGGGTAAAACGAGGGGAAACGACAATACCTACTGCGTCTCTAGGCAAAAGAACAGGTGCCTTGGTTTGCCCAGCCCTGCAAACACTTGTAGCATAGTCCACACGTTCGACGTACTACGCAATATCTGAACTGCTGCTATGGGGAACTAAAACCAAGGACAACGATGATCAACAGCGATCGGGCGAAACCGAAACCGAAACAGTGCCCGACAAAGCTGGGGTAGACCCGCACGAGGAGAAAGCAGGAGTCCATAGAGAATTGAGCTTCATAGGCCGTGCAGCGCAACGCACGCAAAAAGGAAGAGGGCGCACGCGACAGCACTCCAACACCACCGCACTCACCCACGTGTATGATTCTTCCCGTGTGCAGCAAAACCACCACTAACTGAAAAATCAAATCTTGAGGAGAAGTCACACACACGAACATTATCTCGGGGAGAAGCGTCTCTGCAGCAGCGGGAATGTGCTGTGTGCAGCGGTCGCTTCGTAGGCTGTGGTTGAACAGCAGCTGTGGTTGTACAGCAGCCTACACAGAGGTTAAACTTCGAGTGCGGGTGCAACTTGATAGGTGCCTTGGAACGAAGAAGCAAAGAAAGATGTTTGATTACTGACTGACTCCCGCGTCAGGTTTTGATGGTGCTAAAGTGGAGTGAGCACAAAGGGGGCGAGAGCGCGCTTGTGTCACATCTCGAAAACAAAATCATACAATCGTCAAAACAGGGTCCTCCCGAGATCTACTTGCTGTGCTGGTCTCTCGGGGTCTTTTTTTGGACAACTCAACAAAAGTTTCACCGCAAACATTCCGATAACCCAAGAGCTTCCCTGCTCGACTTCAACGTATTCCGTCAATCTCTCTGACGTATTCAGAGTCACCCTGCTCGACTTCTACACGCAGGCTTCTACCACTGCTGTGTATGTATCTAGGACAAAACTCTCAACCTATCATCCCTAGGCTACACGCGTAGAACGCATGTACTTGCACATATATATAGTCTATGCATCACACAGACGCCTTGTTGTGTGGCTGCAATCGACTACACTACAGAGAGAACTGCGTGACTGACTCATGATGATGCAATACTGCAGGTATCCAGCGTGACTCATGATGCTACTGTAGGTATCCAGCCATGATACATATCTCCGACACAACACACCTAGGGTGGCCTTAAGTTGGGCCTGCCGATTTACGCACAACCAACTGCAGGCACAACCTCAACTTACGCATCAAAGGGTCACGAGCTCTTACCATTTTACCACCTACAAATCATTCCTAGGCGTAGTGCACCCAACACCCCGGCCGGCCGTTCAAGCGACTGAAGCGGCTGCATTTTTTCTGTGAAACGTCGCTATCACCTTCGCACGACAGCCGTTCAAGCTTTTGTCCTACAAGCTTTTGTCCCAGGCACCTGCCGTAACGTGCAATCCTCGAAGGGGCCAACAGTTGGCTCCTCCACGCCCCCCCGCCCAACACCCCCGCATAACAAACGGAAAACGAAAAAGACCAGCACAAAAAAAAACGTTTCGCCTTGGACCGACAAGATACGAGCATTTTGCCAACACGACCAATCACAGACAAAAAAAGCGGGGGGAACACAAACGTCGTACAGGCATGAGACGCGCGCTCCCTTCCTCTGTACAAAATTAATCATGAGAACGCTCAACTAGCCCCGTACCCGACTTACGCGAGGCGTTACCTTACCGTCCACCCCAGTATCCTTTTCTCTTTGTCTCGGAACAGCAGCGCCCACTCTCGTCTGTATTTATGGCCGTCAGATGCACAACATCACTTCGATCAACGCTGGCCTCCTGCTGCTTAAATCAACGCACCACAAAACACGTATTTTAGCCGCCGCCGCAACCGTCGAGTCCCCATCTCTCTTGCCGCTGCCCACTCCGCCGCCGCCGCCGACGTCGAGAGCCACAACCTTTGCCCCTCAGTTCGCGTAAAATACACCAAACACACCAACCTCCGACATGCGCTCGTTGGCTGCGCTCCCGTTCGGCGCAGCGAAGACACTACTAAACCCTCCCACCCCTTGACTCTAACTACGCGCAGCGCAGATACTACTACTAGATACGTCCGGTTCCGTGTCGTCTCACTTTTTTTCAACTCCAATCACAATACTTGTAGAGGAGCCTTCGCCTACGCTATTACTATGACCCCGGCCATCGAAAACTCGACAACGCCTCTCGGCGGAACAACAGCCAGGGGGCGAAAAGACAGACTTGACACGAAACCCCGCCCCGAATCAGCGGACAAGAGACAAGAGCAACAGAAACCCGGCAGGGAAAAACGCTGTCCGCGTCAAGCGAACCCGACAAAGCAACAAGCACGGTACACGGTACAAGGTACCGCCCTATATCCGCTTGGGGGGGGGGGGGGGGGGGGGGGG